GCAGCTGGTGAATTCGAATTGCTGACCTTTTGGTTAGCAGCCGAATGCTTTAGTCTGTGCCACTGTAGCTTTTTTAGATTCAGGTAGCTTTGTTTTAGAAAACAAGTTCCTATTTCAAATAACAGCAAACAGTCTGCCCTTACAGTTGTGCGTGTGCTGGAGGTAGTCCTCGGTCCTCACGTGATGAGGGATTGAGTGTGGAGACACGCTGCTTGTAATGCGGTGCTGAATGACCCCAGCGGCGTGGCGATGGTCCTGTCCTTTGCTGGCTCTTCAGGACAAAGCCCCGTCTAGTTGAGATTCCCAATTCCAGAGTGAGAGCCCTCAGGGCCGGGAGCTGAGCCATGTGGTTGGTTAGCAGAGCTTCCTACGCACACAGCTGCTGCCAGACGTGAACCCGACATCTGCCACGATGCTGGAAAAGACAGACGCCAAAGTGTGCACACCGCTCGCTTCCCCGTGGCATGTCAGGAGAAAGGCTTCCCAGGGAAGGCAGGCTCTCAAGAGTCAGGCTGGAGGGTGAGCGTCTCTGCCTCCACCCAGCACAGGCAGGGCTTGCTGGCAGGCAGCGTATCGGACACCACGTCCACGGGAGACGCTAGGAGGAAGCTCAAGAAAGGGCAGTGAAGCTGCGTCCTGTGCTAACAGCTCGCAGCGTCCTGCAGACCAGGACACACGCTTTCAGCCCGATTCTAATGAACACAACCCAGCTTTCTGCCCAGTGGGAATGCCCCACGGATGACATGGACACACAGCAGTCAGTCCGTCCTTTTATTTAAAAGGCCACTCAGATACTCGGTATTTGTCAAGATGCCAAAGTTTCACTTAGAATTAAAGAAAATACACACTTCACTCCAGATAATGAATATGACACAATTTATAGGTTTCAAACTTAATATGTATGTAATTTTCAGTCCGCATTACATACAGCATTTTAAAGCTTAATTTCTAATGTCTGTTAAAAAATTCAAACTAAAATAACCATAGGTCAGAATTTAGCTGTTAATACCAGGAGGAAAAAAGGCTAGCCCTCCAGGGGCTGGGGATCCCCCCACCAAGCACCACACAGCATGGAGGGTTGACGGTGAAGCCCACAGACTCAAGCTGTCATACTGGGTACATAATCACAGGGACCAACAGGTTCCCAGAACACAAATGACTGATTTGAAGGAAATGTCACATGTTGGGGTACGGAACACGTATCAGCTTTCCCTGTAATTTCCACTTGAACAGTTACAGTCTTAGCAGCAAAAATTTGCTGGGAATGTTACGGGAAAAAAAAACAACTGAAAAGCCACACATATCCATCATTTAAAAATAAAGACACAAACTTTTCATGGGGGTGGGGGAGGTTATAAGGCAATCCAGCCCTGATCCTTCCATGCCTCACGTGACACAGGCAGAGGTAACCGACAAGCGTCAACAGGAAGACTGAGCTTTCCTGTCCTGGTGGGTATCAAAGGAGCACATGGCCAGGCTGTCACACCCAGGACTCCTCACGTGCTGACTCAGCTCAGTGTGAACAGGGCAGGCTCACACTGGTAATCACTTGCTGACTAATTTCTGCAACAGAAGACCGCATGCACTCTCAATGCTAAACGTGAAATGCAGAGCAACTGCCACTTCCTCCCGAGGCCACATGATATGGCTCAGTTTGCATGTGACTGCATCTCAAGAGTGCAAGCACACCTCCGCACGCGCTCCTGCTCACGGGCAAGCACACCTCCGCACGCGCTCCTGCTCACGGGCAAGCACACCTCTGCACGTGCTCCGGCTCTCACAGGTAAGCACACCTCCGCACGCGCTCCTGCTCACGGGCAAGCACACCTCCGCACGCGCTCCTGCTCACGGGCAAGCACACCTCCGCACGCGCTCCTGCTCACGGGCAAGCACACCTCTGCACGCGCTCCTGCTCACAGGTAAGCACACCTCCGCATGCGCTCCTGCTCACGGGCAAGCACACCTCCGCATGCGCTCCGGCTCTC